AGCAGGCCTCCTTCGGGGCTGGCTGGTGGGGAAGGAGCAGCGGTGCAGGTGCGGGTCTCCCACCCAAGTTCTCACCAGAAAGGGGTGCCAGGATGGGATTGGGGGCACAGGCGACACGGGGTGAGAGGGTGCTACCAGCCCTCTAAGCAGGCCTCTCCCCCTTCCTCCTGCAGATGCCCGTGAGCCTCCCCACAGCCCTGCGTGTTTTGGGGACCACCCTCTTTGCCGTGACTGTGCTGGGGGGCATCCTGGCTGCCTACGTCACGGGCTACCAGTTCATCCACACAGAGCAGCATTACCTGTCCTTCGGGCTGTACGGAGCCATCTTGGGCCTCCATCTCTTCGTCCAGAGTTTCTTTGCCTTCCTGGAGCACCGGCAGATGCGCCTGGAGGGGCGGCCCCTGAAGCTTCAAGCCTCGGTGGCCCTCTGCATCGCTGCCTACCAAGAGGACCCTGACTACCTGCGCAAATGCCTGCGCTCCATCCAGCGTGTCTCCTTCCCTGGCCTCAAGGTGGTGATGGTCGTGGATGGCAACGGGGAGGAGGACGCCTACATGCTGGACATCTTCAACGAAGTGATGGGCTCCGAGCAGACCAGCTGCTACATCTGGAACAGCAACTTCCACGCTCAGGGGATGGGCGAGACTGAGGGTGGCCACCTGAAGGCCATGCAGCACGTCCAGAACCTTGTCCGCCACCACACCTACTCCTGTATCATGCAGAAGTGGGGTGGGAAGCGGGAAGTGATGTACACGGCCTTCCGTGCCCTCGGGGACTCGGTGGATTATGTGCAGGTGGGTGCCAGGATGGAAGCCCTTCCTTATTCTTTCTCCTGTTGTTCTGCCACTGCCTCCCGTCCCCCAAATATCAAAGAAGAAAACAGGTGTTAGAATACTGAAGCCCAAATGGGTTCAGGCTAGAAGGCTGGCTCTCCCAAACATGTGGTGCTCGGAGCTTGCAAGGGAAGCAGAGTAAGGAGGCACCTTCCCCAGTTCACAGGTAAGAAGGGACTTATTCTTGGGAGAGACATGCTAGTGGATGGCACATTCCCTAGCCTCCTTCCTGCCCCTTCTGGGTGGGGCTCGTATGACTTGTCATATCTTTTTCTAGCAGTTCTCCAGGAGAGGGCATTTCCCTTCTTTCCCATTCACATGTAAAGGGCATGGGGCACATTCTCCCTTTCCTTATCCCTCCCCACGAAGGGAGATTTGCTGCATGCCAGTTGGACAATGCTCCTTGGAACCACCCATGCATTACCCTACCCCTCCATGCACCCATGCTGTTTCCCCGTGGGAGAGACCCTTTTTACAGTGTTACTAAAGGAAGAAAAGTTCCCCATGTGTAAACCTTCCCTTGGGCCATGATGGACCTTTCTCCTGGGCAGGTGTGTGACTCGGACACTGTTCTGGATCCAGCCTGCACAGTGGAGATGCTCCGGATCCTGGAGGAGGACTCCCATGTCGGTGGTGTCGGTGGAGATGTCCAGGTATGGACCTGCTGGAGTATGACAGCTCAGGGAGCGCGGGGGGTGGTCCCATGGGAGGGCAAGCCTCTTTTTCTGCCCAGCCCTGATTTCTCTGTTCTCTTAGAATCTGACCCACCAGTTTAATCCTGGGACTGTTTGCAACACTACGACATGCCTACTCACGCTTTGCTCAGTTAAACTCAGCCATTGCAGACTATGGTTATGGCATAGTGTTGTGCGCAGTCCTAGCTAAGTGGTTTATTTAGTAAACACTTATTAGACACACCATGGATCAGCATGCTCGTGGGAAACTGAAGTCGGAGAAAGGATAGGTAAGATCAGGGCAGTGCCAAAGTCTCTCCTTCTGTTCCAGATCCTCAACAAGTACGACTCGTGGATCTCCTTCCTGAGCAGCGTGCGATACTGGATGGCATTCAACGTGGAGCGGGCCTGCCAGTCCTACTTTGGGTGCGTCCAGTGCATCAGCGGGCCCCTGGGTATGTACCGCAACTCTCTGCTGCAGCGGTTCCTGGAAGACTGGTACAACCAGACCTTCCTGGGTAGCAAGTGCAGTTTTGGGGACGACCGGCACCTCACCAACCGTGTCCTGAGCCTGGGGTACCAGACGAAGTACACGGCTCGCTCCAGGTGCCTGACTGAGACCCCCACCCACTACCTGCGCTGGCTCAACCAGCAGACCCGCTGGAGCAAGTCCTATTTCCGGGAGTGGCTCTACAACGCGCTCTGGTTCCACAAGCACCACCTTTGGATGACCTACGAGTCTGTGGTCACCGGCTTCTTCCCATTCTTCCTCATTGCCACCGTCATCCAGCTCTTCTACCGTGGCCGTGTCTGGAATATCCTTCTTTTCCTCTTGACGGTGCAGCTGGTGGGCATCGTCAAGGCCACCTATGCCTGCTTCCTGCGGGGCAACGCTGAGATGATCTTCATGTCCCTCTACTCCTTGCTGTACATGTCCAGCCTCCTGCCAGCCAAAATGTTTGCCATCGCCACCATCACAAAGTCCGGCTGGGGCACCTCTGGGAGGAAGACAATTGTGGTCAACTCCATTGGCCTCATCCCCGTCTCCGTCTGGGTGGCGGTGCTGCTGGGCGGGCTGGCTTACACGGCCTGCCGCCAGGATCTTTTCACAGACACTGAGCTGGTCTTCCTCATCTCGGGGGCCATCTTGTATGCCTGCTACTGGGTGGCCCTGCTCACCCTCTACCTGGCCATCGTGGCCAGGCGCTGCAGCAAGCCGCAGGAGCAGTACAGCTTGGCACTTGCAGAGGTGTGACGCCGCAGGAGAATGAAGATGGAGGGGAGCCGGTGCAAGAATCCCCATGGACTAGCGGTTTCCCTGTGCGGCTGAGATGTGTGGGAAGGGCTGGCCCCGCCCTACTTGAGACAGCCTTCACGTTGTCAGTCTGGGAAGCAGCTGGCAGACTCAGCAATCTGAAACGTTTCTGCTCTAGGACCTTGCTGAAGGGCCGCTGCCTGGCAGAAGGACGCCCTCAGACTCCCGTGAAGGTCCCTACCAGCAGGCTCACCAGCCCTCCTATGTGAACAACTTTCCCGAGGGTGCTAGAGTGGCATTCTCCTGAGTGCGTGGCAGTGGTGGCTGCCTCCTAAGGGAAGCCTCCGGGGCGGGGGGTCTACCCAGGCCCTCTTTGGTGTATGTGTCTGTAGGGAATGCGATATGGTTTCTTCTGGTTGCTTCGCTGCAGGAAGGACGAGGTGTGTGAAGGCCAGAAACCTCCTTTTTG